GCTAAGACTTTGCAGAGAGCAGCAAGAGAGCCGTTTCGTACGATCTTGGACATATGCATATGGGATGCACCGTTGAGCACTGCCAGGCTCATCGTTTGTAAGCGGTGAGAGGCAGATTTAGCCATAGTTGTCCTAAAGATAGGGCGTTCAATCTGAATCCGAGCATCCGCCGTCGATTGGGGAATATGCAAACGCTCGCGAGTTTCCAAAAGGTGCAAAAAGCCCGTGATGATTCGAGCTACCGATTTCATCATGTGGAATGAAGTGCCGGCAATGCTTAAGCGGGCGTTGGGAGACCAAAAGAATCCCATTCTGTGTCTAATTGCACTGGGTGGCGGGTTTCGCCCAGTGTTGCCAGTCGAATTCAAAGCTCCTCGCAATTAAACATACCTTTAAATACCTAAAATGCGGCTTCTGCAAAAAAAAATTCGCTTTTGTGAATGATTACTTGGTGTGGGCAGTGGAGTACGTCATATATGCCATGTACCTGGATAAGATTTCAATAAAGGGTCATTCCACGCCAATTCGACCAGACCGTAAGCTCGACCAGCAGCGAATTGGACGAACATAGCATTACTGTACATGTAGCGGAATCGATTTAAAGAAACCAATTTCAGGCAATTTTATATCTCACATCAATCTCTTGATATATGCATTTGAATGGTGCCAATTTTTGACTCCCTGTGCCCATATTTACTGGAATTGTCAAACTGTTTCTGCAATAAATTCTCTTCTAATTAAGATAGACGCTTCATTCTGGTCATTTTAATTGCTAAATCACCATCTTTAAAATGATTATAGACAATATCCTTCAAAGATAAAAAAAAAGAAATTCCACGCGACCGAACGGTTTCATCGTGTTGAATGCTGAAAAGCGACACCTTTGGAATTCTTCGTTCCAATAATTTATTCAAAAGCGGATGTTACGCCCTTTCTAAGGATACCAAATTCGAGATTGGCACTCAACGGATTATTGAGATATGGCTATTTGACTGAATCTCCCTTGACGGAACAGTTTGACCAGTGTCAGCGACAGACATCTGCAGCTTCCCCTCCAAGCACACTCGTTGCACACTTTGTACAACGAGGAGGAAATGATAATAATGAAGCTAGTATACCAGTTCACATGACCAGAATAATGAAAATCGGTGAAGGGTGATCTCCAAATATCCTCTCGCTCTCTAATCCTTGGATGTCATATGGGAAGTATGAATCCTCGTTATAAGGAAAACACACATCATCAGACGTATATACATGTTGGAATTTATTTGGTGAGACAAAGCTTTACATAATATGAACCAGAAAATTTTAATTTCGAAGGCTCTTCACAAGTGAAAATTCAGTTTCTCAAATAGCAGTGGGCCTCTCCACAAGAATATATAATACGAAAGTGACCTTTGCTCCGTCTCGTGACCGAGATTTTCACTATAGAACATGTGACGAAAGAAATATAGTGCGAAAGGTTGTATCCCCAAGTGACGAGTACATGGTGCAAATTTCTTTCTAAGATGGTCGCTGAGCAGAGGCAAGATCGAAACCAGCATTCTGAGTTTCCTTGAGGGGCGAAAGGGTGTAGACGAGGGGACCCCTGAACTCCGGTTCACCTTTTTTGTCAGTCCCTACTTGCATCATGGAGATGGTGAATGTGATGAATGCAGTGAATGTAGTGCGAACATCGCAGTGACTCACAGGTGATGAGGACTCGTCGCTTGGGCCCCATCACCTCGTGCCGAGGCTTCCTCCAACCATGGAAGATGATGTTGAAAATCCATTCCATTACTTCCAGAATCGAGATGAAGGACAGACCAGTGTAGAGACCCAGTATCCCTCCCAACGTACCGATGAAGGTCGACCACTAACCCATAAACAATGTTGCGGACCTAATAGTGACATTTTCGGGAATCTCAACTTTCGGACCTATGAACGAATTCAACTCACGGGATATTGAAGGTGTTCCGTAATTATCTCCACAGCAAAGCTCTCATAATAGACGTTCACCACTGCAAGATTTTCTCTGCATAAAAAGTCAATAAGCATGAGCCATTAGAACAAGAAATGGGTTTCATATCACAATCCGGGTGTCGTCTACTTAATGGCGACCTGTAAACACTGGTATCGTCATTCAACCATTGTTCAATCAACAAAGAGTTTAAGCGGAAATAGCAGACTTCGGATGTAGACAGAAAGTCCTGTTTTTCAGCTCGTTGTCGCTCATGTTCTTCCTTTTCGCCTCTGCCATCCAGGAGATGAAATGCAGGAGTAACACCTCGTCGCGACTCATCTGCACTGAGTTGGACGACCAGGAATACGTCTCCTCTCTGAAATAAAATTACCAATTTAATTTATTTTTCTTTTCACGTTCAGATTGTCTATGCAGATGGACGCTTACAAGCAAGTTACAGGAGGACAATCGCAGAACCCTTCTGAGAAGAATTCCTTGTACACCCTTTCCTTTTTGAAATTGTCCCATGCACCTGAATATCATGATAAAATCACGATAATGTAATGGACTAACATCTAGATGACATGGCAAGTCTTAATGATTATGCATCTGAATCGCTCATGAAATTCATCTCAATCAGACAAGCGAAGTTTGCTCAGAGGAAGAGAATAATATAATTTCTTACAATGGCACGTTTTATCGACCTTTATGAAGCCTTGCCAGCCGAACTCAGTCGAGATGCAGCATAGGTCGGTAGAGTCATTTTTCATCCGGTCTGCGATACACATTAGCCGGCAAACCTTATTGAACTGAGAGAAGACGAAGAAAAAATGCAATGGCAAGGGTTTTTAAGTATGCTGTGAGGTCAAATTCAAGAAGCTTTTCTCACATTGGGGGCGTATTTGTATTCAAGGTTGAACATGTTCATGTCAAATCGCTTCTCGAGGTAGGTATCTGGGGCACAATTTCCACCTTCGTCTGGAAGAAGGCGCTGCAACACCACCTTCTTGGTGGGGACATGAGAAATCGTTCCCAAATTTACCTCATATCCTTTTTCCAATTCATCCAAGTATTGCATTCCAGGATGGCGAATTAGGAGACGGAATCCGTTCGCGACACGAGATGTCAGTATCAGTTGAAGTCCTTCCTGGACAATGCAATTCAGAAAAAATAAACATGTTAGTTCCACTCCTTCGGGGCAGAGTCTCAAAAGAGTCTCACGGTGATTCTCATGCCGTTGGTTGAAGATGATTTTCCCTTTTTCCTGCTGTGGCCTTCCCTTGCTCCGTTGAAGTTGAATGTGAGACAACTACCTGCTGGGTCCAACTTGAAATCTCTGGGAAAATCCACGATTTCAAATTTCATATCAATTGTTATGTTACTCAATCTTTCTGTTTCCTAGAAAAACTCACTTCCTCCATCATGTTTCCAGTAACGTTGTACTTAGTTTAAACTATTGTAAAGGACTTCTTACTAACGTAAGGATATTCTCTCAGGCAAAAGCTATGCTTAACTTTCAATCTTAGAGTAAATGAAGTTGGGTGATCCATGCAGTTGAAGTGAATCGGGTGAAATAGCAAAATCCACTTACGAATAGTTGCATTTTTCCCGGTTGAAGGAGCAATAGAGGATGTACCACTGAAGATATTGCTTTACATCAGCTTCCAAATCCGAATTTTTTTTAATCCCATCGAAACCACCGGTTTCATCTGAATTCGTCCACAAGTTTGCTTCACTCAACAATTTGAAAAAAGGAGCCCACTCCTTACTGGACGTTGAATTACCTACAAATGACAATTCAAATTTCCATTATCGTTAGAAATCGTATAACCATTAAGCAGGCAGATTTAGAGGGATTTTTTAGTGTATTAGTGTTTTCTATTTTCCCTCATGAAAGAAGAAAATAATATTCTCCGACGCTGGACGTTGCAAGAAAAAAGCAATCTCATTAAAACAAAAAACTGCACAGTTGGCTTTCACAAATTGTAAATTGATTAACATTTCTTTAATTGGCTCATTATTGGAGCATCGCATCACTTCCAACTTTGGGATGCGTTGCTATCAGGACCTTACCAAGATGACACAGAGGTTTTTATATTAGTTCTGGAATAAATGATCTGAATGATCTGAATAAATAAATAATTTTTTTTCCGTCCAGTGCTTTGTACAACAGAGCTTTAGGACCAACATGCTCAATTCAGACACATTCCACTCGCATGACCATAAAAATCGTAGTACGTGAAGGAGGAATATGCAATGCTGTAATGGCAGGTGCACGTCAGTGTAAATGATTAAGAAACACAATTAACTTACTTTCGGCATATGGTTTGATGCATACCTCCTGCAATCCATCCTTGTCCATAATGCATTCAGGTTCGTAGAAGGAAGGAAACAGATCTGCTTTTGTGTGTTGGCATGTGCTTTTCGATTTTGAGAGCTCATTGATAGAAAAATATGATCGAAATAGATTGTTGTCAGCTCTTGAGAGTCTCGGAACATTTTCGGATAAAGTACTGCTCTTCGGACAAATAGTGACAGCAGGAAAAGAGAGGGTATCCTTTACCTCCACCTGGAATGGGATTCATACAGGGAATCTATCAGTTCCTGCTGACAAAAATATGCGGATATTAACACATTCGCTGCCAAAGACGGCGATAAGAAGACGGCGTGAAAAGGGTTGATTACTTGTCTCTTCAAGAGAATTCAAAATCGTCACTATACCTTACAGTAGTTATGCTGAAAATTTTATTCAATTATATCCCTGGAAGTGAATGTGTAAAGCATACGAATGAATGGATTTAGGGTGATGTACTTTTGTCGAAGTAGTCTTCACCCCCGACATGAACGCCATGAGTACTTCGATGATTCCGGAGACCATGTAACCCGACGCGATGACGAAGACGAGAAGCCAGACGGTTTTCCTGAGGCGAGAGGAGTCTATATACGCAGAACGACTCAGCCCCTGAATGATCAAATTCTTTTCCATTTTGTCGAAGGATCAGTCCATGTCTTCTTAAGAATGCCAGTTATATTGTACAAGTTCTAATTGCTGACCAGGCGTTGATAACTTTAAAAATGCATAGAAGCCAATCCGATAACACGTGACGTGCGAGATAACTAACACCTGCAAATGAAAACCTGTCAAAGCTTATTTAAGGCAAAAAGTTCCATTCCATTATTCGGAATATTCAGAATTTTTTACATGCCTAGTAAGGTTTGCAGTGGTTCACATATCCAAATCAGGATGATTTATCAAAGCGATACATTTTTGCAGTGCCAACCTGGCTCGGAGAACTCTGACGTTAAATTTGCAAAAAGTCACAGATATTTAAATATACACTACTTTACGCCAAAATTTTGTCAAATAAATTCTTTCCCATCAGTTTTATAGCGGATTCCTTTGTGAGACCCAGAAATAAATCATGTTTTGTGCAAAACTGAAAATAAAGACGACTCACGTGTCCTGAAAACCTCTGAAGGAATTTGACGGTGACTGGACCGACACCAACCGTTTCTCCCTCGTCTTCAAACTGGATATCTGCTTCCCTACAGTAGACCTCCCGAGCGATGGAGACTTTCTTCCCCATTACCATTTATTTGGCTGAAACTAAATTATGGCACTATGGTCTCATGTAAATTCAATCCGATGCCGTGCCACCTGTCTCCCAAAGCACCCTCGCTTCCTACAATCGAGTGTAGCTGGTCCCTGGAAAGCTTCGACTGTCGAAGGTGTTCTCTTTGTTCCGCTTTTAATGGGCGGATTTCGATCAATACATAGCGCATGCGTGCGCAGCACTAAGGAATAGAAACCACCCCTGGAATGGCATGAAAATAAAACCTCGGCCACAGGAAACTATCAACGAAATTTGGAAATTGGGGAAGGGTGTAGTTGGGAAGGTGGTAAAACAAACTTTAAGAAGAGAGGAAGCATAGCCAGCCTCGTATGAGAGTCAGAATATACGTTAGCACTAAAATATGAAACAAATTGTGGTCAATTTTTTGGAATATCTACTGCTGAAAACATTTAATATCGAAACAATATTCGTTTGCCGATTTCCCTGTCAATTGTAATTTAAAAATAAAAAAAAATTGACTGCATCGAAAAAACAATAATAATAATTTCGCCTTCATACTTTCAGATGAAAATGCGATGAAATGGAGCATGGTCACATTTCCACTCATTGCATTTCTTCATGTCTGGATCGGTCTAATTGCTAGAGGTTTTGCGGCTTTCCTTTCCGCATTAGTCACTTACTTCGAATGCCGCTCACAAAGATCTCCGTTTTTGTGTCCTTTCGCGAGCCCTTTTACCTACCCTATGGCCGAAAAAGTCATAGCCTTCCAGGTATCGAGCTTCATGCTAAGGTAACTCAGGCTTAGTTCAGAGCGGCGGATTGAACGGGTAAAATGTCCGCTTCGGAAGTTGTTAAGGATGGACCACACGTTCCGTGTTGGATTCGCGTTCGGTGGCCAGTCGATCATTCCGGACACATGCCGTTCTGAACATTTATCTCTCTACCTTGTGTGGCTTGGATCATTGTTTTACTTGAATCGCCAGGGCAGTCTAAACTGTCTCCTGCCAGAAAGTAGATGTTCTTGAAGAAATTGAGCGCACTAAGTGCCGTCCATTATCTTTCTGAATAATGTTTACGGCTCAACAAACATTCGTTCGGCTTTTTGTAAATTCTCTAGATCTAAGGACGAGAAAGTTCAAAGGCTGCTCAACGATATATCCTATTTCTGAAGAGTCGATAACATGTTACATCGGAGGACACCGTCTGACTCCATTCGTCGTTTATATGTTTAGGCGACTGTTTCCTTTTTGCTTGTGCCAGCAAACGCGTCGCTTTTGAAAAAGGCTCCCCTAATCGAAATGAGCAAATTTCCATTGAACCATTGATCTGGACACATGCAATTCGTCGTTTATATGTTTAGGCGACTGTTTCCTTTTTGCTTGTGCCAGCAAACACGTCGCTTTTGAAAAAGGCTCCCCTAATCGAAATGAGCAAATTTCCATTGAACCATTGATCTGGACACATGCCGGCCTCGGTTCACTTGCAATGTCCTCAAAATGTTGCACTGACCGATCCACTGTCTACTGACCGATAGTAGTACTATCAACTTGCCTTATCATACATTACATCAGTATTATCGCAGTCATTACAATCCCGATTCTCCGCACTAACTTGCTCTCGGATATAAGTCATATATACCTCGACAGTATCGATGGACCATTTTCAGCAGCACATATATGCCCTACGTTCTAATAATGTAAAAGAAAAACTGATCGGTTTTTGACGG